GAAGAAGAAGAAGAAGAAGAAGAAGAAGAAGAAGAAGAAGAAGAAGAAGAAGAAGAAGAAGAAGAAGAAGAAGAAGAAGAAGAAGAGAAGTAGTGAGGCATCAGGGGAGAAGTGAGAGCACAGAAAAAGGTGCTGAAGTGGTGTCCAGACAGGGAAGTTACGTTGTTGTGTGGGGGCCCACGCTCGGAAGGTCTGGCACCTCTTTTCATGTTCTTTGTTGACTGTCTTGAAATTCTTCATATTTTTGAACAAGAGGCCTTGCTTTTTCATTTTGCACTGAAACCTACAAAAAACTATGGAGCCAAGTCCTGGTTAGGGCAGTGATGCAGGAATAGCAGAGAAGGATCAGGACCCATGGTCACTCGGAGGTCAGTGGGACTTATTTTGCTGGTTTTTGGACGAGAGGTTAAGAAGAGCGAGGAAAAAGATGGCCCCATTTCCCAGATGGATGGGGAAGCTGTGTAGCACGGGGAGGATGGGAACACGTAGCTCAGAATGTAGGACCCGGCTTCCATCCCGCTGCCAAAATATGAGAGGATATGAGAGGACAAAAGGCCTGAGGAAGGGGAAAAACAAGAGCTCAGCCCTGGGGCTGGTGAGATGGCTCAGTGGTCTAAAGCACCTACTTACAACAAGCTCAGCAAAGAACAGGGACCACGGTTCAATCCCCCAGCACCACATGCCAGCCAGCCCCGCCCCCTGGTGGGCTGAGCTGGCCACACACACACACACACACACACACACACACACACATAAAAAAAAAAAAAAGAGCTCAGCCCTAAGCCAGCGGGTTGGAGCTGGTGTGGGGGCTGTGGGGCTTCAGCTTCTCCAGCCCCCTCCAGGTGTGCCCCACAGTGGTTTCTCTCTACCTTCCTCTTTTTTTCCCCTCCTGGTACCAGGAATCAAACTCATGACCTCACACTTGCCACGCAGGGAGTCCCTGTGCCACTGAGCTAAATCCCTGGCCCTTTTCTTCTTTTTTTCTTTTTTCCTGGCACTGAGGGTCAAACACAGGGGAGCTGTACCAAATAAGCTATACCTCCATCCCTTTATTATTAATATTTTGGTACTGGGGATCGAATTCAGGATTTTTTGTTTTGTTTTGTTTTTTTGTTTTTGTATTTTAGGGAAGGGTGCACAGGGTGTTCAGGGTCTCAATATTAGATTGGACTCGTAGTGATCTGCCTGTTACAGCTTCCCAAGAGCTGAGATTACAGGTGCGTGCCACCATGTCCAGTCTCAATTGGCGCCCTGGGGGCAGGTCCGACAGGGCAGGCCTGGGGATCGAACCCCTGGCCTCTGCGCCTGTTTGCAGACTTTAATATGCTGAGCTATTTGGCCACCCCGCCCCTTTTTTTTTTTTGTAAATTCAGGATCGTGTGCTTGCCAGGCAGGCACTTACGCCACTGAGCTATCTCCCTGGCACCCCAGCCCTTAAATTTTTTTGAGAGCCGGTGAGATAGCTCAGTACTAAATGCCAGCTTAGGCAAGACCAGGGTTTGATCCCTTTATTGCAAGCCATGTGGGCCCTGCTGCTGGGCGTGCTAGACCAGGGACCAAGTCTGGGTGTGGCAGCACATGCCTGTAGTCCCAGTGCTGGGGAGGTTGAAAATGGGAGGATCACTATGAGTCCGAGCTGCATAGTGAGACCCTGTACAAAAAACACTTTTTAAAAAAATTTTTTTTGAGACAAGGGTCTCACTAACTTACCTGGCTGGCCTCAAATCTAGGTTCCTTTTGCCTCAGCCCCCCTCCCAAGTAGAGAATCAGGGATCACTGGGATACACCACCATGCCCCTCTCTCCTTTTTATTTATCTATTTTCTCCTTTCTTTTTAACAATCCTCTCATCTTCCCTGTCTTCTGCAAGACTGTGAAGTGGGTAGAGAGGAAAACAAAGAGACAAGCCAGTCAGGAGTGCACAGAGATGCTGGGTTTGGGTCTGGGCCTTTGGGGTTGACTTTCTTGACACTCAGTAGGGCCTACTGCTTGAAATGAACTCATGGGCTCAGAACAACTCCCTGCATAAGAGGCAGCTAGGTGATATCTGTGTCAGGCCCCTTAGTGGTAGGAAAAATATATATGTGCTTTAGTATTAGATATAAGGTCTTAAAGACTAATGCCAGAGTTGTGTGTAGTGACACAGACCTGCAGTCCCAGCACCTGGAGGCTGAGCAACAGGATTGCTATGAGCTCAAGGCCAGCCTGAACTGGATAGTGAAACTCTTGTCCAAAACACACACACACACACACACACACACACGACAAAAGACACAAATAACAAAATAAGATTAAAGCCTCTCCTTTTTTTCTTTGCGGAGATCAAATTTGTGCACTTGCTCTTGCCAGGCAGATACCACTGAGCTATCTCCCCAGCCCCCAACCCCGCACAGGATCTTGCTATGCAGTTCTGACTGGGCTTGAACTCACTATATAGTCCAGGCTGGCCTCAAACTCACGATGATCCTCCTGCCTCAGCCTCCCAAGGGCAGGGATTATTTGTGCATCCCACCACTCGGCTCAGAGGTCTTTTTTGCAGATGGGAGAATTGAGATCCTGAGAATACAAGGTTAATATTTAAAAGGTGCCAAGCAAAGGCTAGAGCGAAGATCCTCGGACCCCATCCCTTTCTCGAATGATTTCCACCTCACTGGCATAGGTTTCCCACTAGAGGCACAAAGGCCGTATTCTTTGCTTTGTCTAAACCTGGGTCCAAACCCATCTTCCTGAATGGCCGCTTGACCTCGGAGACTCCTTTTCCCTGTCGTTGGCGCCGCCTGGTGGATTTATGGCGAACTCTCAACAGCAGATCTGGACTCTCGAGTCCACGCGAGGTGGGCGGGAGCAGGGGCGCTTGAGCTCGCTTCACGCAGGTCTCCATCTCGACTCCTCACGAGCCCTTCCCCATCCCCTGCTTCTTCCGCCTCCCTCACCATGTAGATACATGCTCAGGGCCAGCGGCTCCCCAAGCCTCGGGCAGACAAGTCTCAGGCTGGGGGCGGAGGGCAGAAGGAACCCAGACTTTATTGTCAAGGAGAGGGTAGGGGCGAGGGCGGGGTCCGGGGTTGCTACATTGTCAAGCAGAAGAGTTGATGGGGAGGGGAAGGCCTGTGATCCCCTCCCGGGTCGGCGGCTAGGACTGACAACACAGAAACCACAGAGGAGGTGGGGGTATCACGCCCCCGCCCGATTGTGCAGTGGAGGTGTCGGGAAGGGACAGCCATGAGGTCTAGGAGCTGGGAAGGAGAGGGGCGGGGGCGAGGCTCTATTGCTTTTTGCTCACAGTTTTGCGGAAGGCGAGGCGGGGGTGGGCTTGGACTGGACACCCCTTGCCCCCCTCGGTACCCCTTGGGCGATGGGTGCTGGTGAAAAGAATGGAACCCGGACTGGGGAGGAAGGAGGCGAGGGAGGGTCTAGGGGGCATCTCCTTGGTCCCACCCAAGTGCCAGAGATGCTCCCAAGTGCTGCACCCTGCGAAGGCCGGGCTAGACCTGGGGCAGGGCCGGTGCGGGGCGGGCACAGTGAGGTTGCAGGCGGTAAAGCCAAAGTGCTTCGGAGGGACCCAGGATCCCGCCTGCTCCCCGCCCCCTGCGGAGGACGGGGTGTTCACGGAAGCGCTTCAGTTTGGGGTAGGGGGCCGGAGTCCCAGAGTCCGCTTATTGCCAAGAAAATCCATTTCTGCCCCCCCGGGCCCCGACCATGGCTTGTGAACCCCATTTTGTGCTAGGTTTGGGGGGGAAGGGCTGGATGGACATGGCTTTTGGGAGGGGGGGTGTCTCCAAGGGGGCTCGGGGGTGAGACGGCCCCCCCTTTTCTAGGGGAGAGGGAAGGGCAGGGGGCGGGGTTCCCTGAGATCTGGGGTGTTCCCCCCCTTCTGAAGCCCCCCTCCCCCGCTGCTACCCCTCCCCTTTCCTGGAACCCCGTACCTCGGGGTGGGGGGGAAGGAGAGATCATTCAGGGAGCGCCGGGAGGAGGGGCGCGCTGGGAGCCCAAGGCTTGGGTCCCGGCTGGAGGCAGGGGGTTGAGTGGGGCTGTTCGAGGTTGAGGTCAGTAGGGGGAGAAAAGGATGGGGCCGTGCGCAGTTCGGATGGGTCCAGGGGCGGGGTGGAGTAGGGGGTGGGTGATCGGCGGTCCCTGCAGAAGAGGTGCGGCCGGAGCTGGGCGCAGGGACAGCGGAGAGCCTGCGGCTGCGGCCATCACCGCAGCCACCGCCAGGGGGCTGGGCAGCAGGCCGCCAGCCAGGGACTTGGGCAGCTCCTTGGAGAAAGTCAGCGTGCCCTGGAGCAGGGAGAGAGTCGGTAGAGAGGCTTCCTGGTTGGTTCTGTAAATTCCACCTGTCCGCGGCCGCTCCGTGTCCCCCTCTCCACCCTGCCCGCGTCTTCCCGTGGTCCAATTCCCCAGGGCCCAAGCCTCACCGCCAGCTCTCCTGCGCCCCTAGGCTTCTTGTGCCGGCTCAGTAGTGGGTTGGGCTTTCCAGCCACGCCATCTCGGTGCCGCCGGCTGGAGATGTGCTGCGAGGGTTGCAGGGAGTAGGTACTGGGGTGAGTGAAAGCCCCAGGAAAAGAGCAACGACCAGGGGCAGGGCCTGAGCACTGAGGACCAAGCTCTGAGCACCAGGCCACACCCTGCTTTGGCATAGGGGTTCAAGCCCACAAAAGGGCCTCATCCCCACACCCTTGCAGATGGAGCTCTTCAGAATTCTTGGGAAGGGCCTTAGACCCACCTGTTTCAGTTGGACTTCCGAGTTGACCTTGACATTGCAGATCTCACAGTGGAAGGTTCGGTCCTGGGCAGGAGCCTCTGGCTCCCCAGGGGTGGGAGGTCCCAGTCGAGGGTAAGCTTTGATGGGTCCCAGCCCACTTCGGGCCTCCAGAATTGTCTTGTGCTTAGTACCTAAAGTTCAAGGAGGGCAGGAGAAAAGGAGTAGAGAAAAAAATTCTCCAGGCCTATCAGGTCTTAAATACCTACAATGTCACTTCCAAAAGGGGGGGCATGTCGGGAGCTGGGGATGGGGGTGATAGCTGGGGAAGGAGACAGGATGGTAGGCCTGAGAAGGTCCAGGGGAAGCCAGGGGAGTCTGAGTGTAGGAGGCCAGGGCGATGGACAGGAGAGGGACTGGTGGCAGGAGCCCTTACCTTTGTTATGTGCCTCAAGCTGAGACAGGGAGTTCACAGCCACCTTGCACAGAGCACAGTAGAGCAGCCGCTTGGCTTTCTCCTCCTCTTCCTTGCTACCCCCAGGCACGGAAGCTGGGGTTGTAGTCCCCCCTTCACCCTTGGTTACACCCCGGCCAGTCTCTGGAACACTGGGAGGACATGGGGAGCCAGGCTGTTTCTCTGGGGACCTTGGGGCTGGACCCAGTCCATTCTCCATGGAAACTGTTGGGGGAGAAACATGGGGGTCACTGCAGATGGTTCTTGGTGAAGCCGCTTCCTGTGGACACCCACCCCATTTCCTAAAGGGCAAAGGCCCAGGAGTCCCCACCCTGTGACAACATGCATGTTCTCATGTCCTGGGTCACAGCCAGGCGTGTTCAGCTGCCTTAGCTGAGTGTGAGACTCCAGTGCCTAGCACACTCCCCAAAGATGGGAATAGCCAAGTAGGTCTGGCCCCCCAGCCTACCTTCAAGGTGACACTGGCATCTCTGCCAGCCAGGGACAAACATGTAAGAGGGATTTACCCCACTCTCATTTGGCCTGCCAACGAGCCTGGGTTCCTGCCAGGACATCCCCTTCCCAGAGTCCTGCCCGGCCCCCATGGAGGCCCACTCTAGAGCTGTAGAAAGGGGCAGAACCAGGATGGGGAGGGAGAGACAGATGCAGACACAGCAAAGAGAAACAGAAACAGCAGAACCGGAGAGGGAAGAAACAGGGATGCGCCTGCTCTATAATTCATGGCCTGATTAAAGATGCACAGGCCCCAGGCCTCAGCACTGGGTTCTGGCCTCTGTGCAGGGGAAACTCTAGCGCTCCCATTCTTGCTCCAGCAGCTGATCCAGTTTCCGGGTCAAAGGGAGGACTGGGGTGGGAGTGGGGATCTGGCAGACGAGGAACTCCTGACCCCTGCAGGTGTCCACTTGTTTGTCTATACTGTGATCGCCCCTCCCTGCCTCCCTACCCCTCTTATGTCTTTTTTTTTTTTTTTTTTTTTGCGGAACCAAGGATTGAACTCAGGCCCTTGCACTTGCCAGGGAAGCGCTTATTCCACTGAGCCATCTCCCTGGCCCCTTTTTATGTCTTTTTGACACAAAGTTTCACTATACAGTTCAGGCGGGCCCTGAACTCACTTAGTAGCCCAGGATGGCCTGGAACTCACAATGCTCTTGTCTCAGCCTCCTGAGTGCTGGGATTATAGGTGTGTGCCACCATGTCTGGCTGATCCTTCCCCTTATACATCTGATTTCTGACAACCTGCTTCATCTTAATCTAGACGGCATGCCCATATCATAGTCTGCACAGGACTACATGGTTTATGAAAGCAGAGCAGATGTATTTATCCTGCCTTGTATTCTCAAAGAAAGTGCAGGAACTGGGAGGTAATCTGTATAAAGTATCTAGAATACTGCTACTCAAGAAATGTGAACTACCACTACCACTGTCGAGTTAGAAAGATGTTAACCAACTAGGCATGATTAAGCCAAGAAACCAACCAGAGACAAAAACCAATGAGAACTTGTGTCTGTCCCCTCTACCTGCGCATTTCTAAGGGTGATTCTGTGGTGTGTGTGCGTGCGCACTTGCGCATGGTGAGAATGGGGAATCTGGGTTCTGGGCTTGGGCTGCAGCGCCTTGTTTCTTACTTTAGGGTGGGGCAGGAAAGGCAGGCCAGGGTAGGGGGAAATGGAGACAAGGAGGATGTCAGTTCTCTCTGGAGTTGGCCATGACTGACCAACTCCTGATGTCTGATGTGGTAATCCCAGTCTGGGGGCGGTTCTTATCTTCTTCTGTCTCTTCTTTCCAGTTTCTTGGAAGTATAGTTAAGGAATGGCCACCCGCCATGAGGGAAAAAGAGTTCAAAGTTGCTTTTTGTAAACTTGGGAAAGACCTCAAAGGTTTTAAGTCTCACCCTCCTTACCAGAAAAGAAAACCCTGGCCCAGAGAAGGTCAAAGGTCTAGCCAAGATCATCTGGGGAGTTGCCCTGGGTTTCTTGGACTCAGTCTTCCCTGAGGGGATCCCTGTTGGGGCAAGGTCTCTGCCATCCTGATTCTCCCCAGGAAGGGGCGTCTCTCTGGATTGGTTCCCTTTCCCTTGGGGAGGTTTGCCAGGTGGCCTCACCCTAGCCCCTCTCTGAGTCACTAGGCAGTGGGAAGGACAGACTATGGGAACTCTATTGAGAGAAGCTGGGGTGGGGGTGGGGCAGGGTGACAGGATGGAAATTTTCTCTCACTGTGCTTGGCTCCAGGTCTTACCTTGGGTGGGGGCAGGGGTGGGGATGGAGGAAGAGACAGAGGCCCAGGACAGTTCTGGGAAATGGGGAGAGAACAGAATGTAGAGATCAGCTGAAGGTGGGCAGACTCAGACACACCTGGACGGGGGGCTACGCCATCCGCACTGGGGGGGGTGCTGCCTGGTGGAGCTGGGTCTCCAGGTTCCCGTGTGCCAGGCTCCCTGCCTCGGGTCTTGGCGGCCTCCATGCCTTTGACTCGTCTGGCGTGGCGATTACCCTTGTAGTGTGCCTCCGCCTGGCTCTTTAGGGATGGAGGAAGAAAACGGAAGCTGAGGTCACCTTTCATCTGCTTCATGTCCCCACAGAGCTCCTTCAGATCCTAGGGTGGCCTCAGCAGGCTGCAGCGAGTCTCTCCCCACACCCATGAGATGTAAAACCCCATGCTAATAATTCTGGTTGCTCCTGGGGCTCAGATGTGCTTCTCAAGCTTGAGTCTCTGGGAGTCTGGAACCCCACCTAGCTCCAAACACCCTCCCTCACCACACCCACAGCCAGGCTGCAGACTCAGACCTCTCACCTAGTCCCAGGGTGAATGAAGGGGCAGACCCCAAACCCATGAAAGGATTCTAACTTGGGTCAGGGGCTAACAATACAGCCAGTTGCAGCCTCTTAGACCCCAGGCCTAGGGGCCTGAGCCCCTGCTCCCAGAATCCTACTCCTAGTAGGAGCTCTGAGGCCCAGCTCTATTCTGACTTCTCCCCTGGATCTCATTTTCCCTGAGCCCTCTGCAGACACCCAGGAGGACCCTGGCCTCAAGCCCAGCTCTGGAGACAGAAGACAGCAGCAGAGACAGCTGTCAAAACAGAGCCACTTGACGGGGGAGAGATGGGGAGGGCAAAAGAGAGTGAGGCTGTCCACACTCCTCAGATCTTGTTCCCTGTGCTAGTGTGTGCAGGGTTGGTAGAGGGCATGTCTGGGCGCCAAGCTAAGGAGAGGGCTACTTTGGGGCAGGGCCTGGCTCCACCACCCACTGCCCACCCACCGGCTCCTACTCTCCACTCCCATTTGCACCACTGCTAAGAATGTGCAATCCTGGAGGCACAAGGTCACCTGGCCAGGGGTAGAAATAAAAGGTGTGGATAGGCAGGAAAAGAGGACTGACAGCCTGGGGGAGGGTGCAGTATGCAGGGCCCAGCAGCATGAGCGAGAGTGCGCGTGTGTGTAGTAGATAGGGAAACAGAACATGCTTTTAGTTTCTCTTACTCAGCAGAATGAAGCTCTTCTATTTTTCCCCAAAAGCTTGCAGGGCTAGCACCCCACTAAGTCCCCTCTATACCCAAACAGAAATCTCAGTGGAGCCTTAGAGGGCGGAAATATGGCGGGCGGAGGGTGTGTGTGAGGGATGGGGCGGGGGTTACACCCAGGTTCTGGGCTTTGGGTGGTTTCATAAATCTATGGAGAACTTTATGTATGATGTGGAGGGAGGACAGCAGAGAGGAGTAGAGAGAAGAGGAAGCCAGGGGGTTTAAAGGAACTGGGTGAGCAGCACAAAGAGTTACCAGGGGCCAAAGGGACACAGGTGCTGCCAAGAGCCAATTATCTAACCCTGCCCTGTACTACAGAACCAAAAAGCAGAGGCCACAGTCCCACCAGACACCTGTGTTCCAACAAGCGCTGAGCCAGGGATGCTCCAAGCCCCCGAGGGAGGAAGGCGTTATCTTTGGAAGGACTGATCCATTTGACGCCCAAACAGCAGTCTCTGGTCCTTCTCAAGTGCCTTCCACCTGCTCCTACCCCTTCTGCAGTATTTCCGTTTCCTGTTCTCCCCTTAACATCTTAATCCTTGCCCCTCAAGCAGACCTCCCATCCTCTGACCTCAAGGTCTCCTGGAGGCCCGTGTCCCACTAAGTGAGTGGGTGACTGGGTGTCTTACCTGAGAATTGAAGCGGATTTGACAGACATTACAGGAAATGATGGGCCGCTTGGTCTTGAGTAAGGGTCCCCCAAACGTGTGAGAGAGCACAGCCTTCTGCACAGGATCCATCTGTGGAGGCAGGCTGGGGTGAGCAGGGACCCCAGCACAAGTTCGTGTTCATTATCCCCCCACTAGCAGCAGCTGGGCTGAACCAAAGCCCCAGAGCCTCCTGCTTTCCCTCGATGTGCTGAGTGCTAAGTCCCAATCCCATGATTCTCTGCAGCCAATCTTTATAATGTCTAAAGGGGCCTGGTAAAACCACAGGCCCAATGTTTCCATTGCACAGAATGCAGAAGTGCTCTTCCTATGGCCACACCAGGAGTTGATAGCAGAGGTGGAATTTAAGCCTGGACTCCTGCCTTGCTTTATTGTGCCGTGGAGGATCTAGCTCTGTTGGACCCATCTCCTACACTTAGGCCAACTGACCAGAGCCCAGTGTGACATGGAGTCCTAGAGAACACTAGATCCAAGGGCCTTCCACTGAAGTCTCTGAACCCTTTTGGCCTCGCCCTAGGGTAAGACTATCTGCCAAACCCAGCCTCTGATCCCAGGAGACAGATGTTCCTAGCTTCCCATCTCTGGGCCCCTGCTGCTCTGAGACTCTTATTCTCTGAACTTCTTTAAGACAGCAACTATAAGAGGGAGTGAAGAACTCAGTGGATAACAGGTGGGCTTAGAAAATAAAGGAGCAGTTGGGGCCGGGGAGATGGCTCAGTAGAATAAGCACTTGCCTGGCAAACATAAGGGCCTGAGTTCAATCCCCGTTTCCGCAAATAATGGAGCAGAAAGACGGGGAGCTGCTGGGTGTGGTGGTGTACCTCTATAATCTCAGCACTTGGGAGGCTGGGGCAGGACTGCTTCAAGTTCTAGGCCAGCATATAGTACATAGACTTCAAGGCCAGGCTGAAACAGAAGGAGACCTGGGCAGCTGGGCTGGCCCAAGGATCTTCTGAATACCATCTCCCTGATGAACAGGGCTTCTGGGGTAGGGCTCTAGGGCTGGGCGGGTTTGGAAACCATCTTGGCCTCCACCCTGGTCAGCAGATGTCTTTGCAGTCTCTTGCCAAAACTTCACATGAGGAAGGGAGAAATTGGAGTTTCTCTGAGCCCCTGGTTATCAGGGGATAAAGTCAGGGACCTGGAGGCACAGAACTGCCTCCCTGAACAGTCTCTCTTTCGGATCCCCAGGAGGCCAGGGAGAGGCAAGACTGGAATGCAGCGGAGGCTCTGAAGGCTGGGTGATTGGCGGGAGCTCATAAGAGCTGACCAAGTTGAGACCGGAAACCTTTTTATCTAGGGAGGAATCATGTAAGATGCTGTTGGTGCCTGGGAGGGTCTTCAGTGACTCAGCTGCATGCCCAGGTTGTGGGCTTCCCAACAAGGCCTGTGAGAGCCAGATCTTGAAGCTGAGATGTCTGGACTCTCATTGTCTCCCCTGGGAGTCTTAACAGCTGGTTGGGGTAAATGCTCAGAAAGGCGCCTCAGGCCCCCTGCGAACTGGCTAGTGACCTCACCCTGCCCCATTTTGGCAGTGGAGGATGCAGGAACCATGTCTGGGTTCAGATAACTGGCCTGACAAGCACCCACCTCTTGGGCAGCCCATGGCTCCTTTCACCTCCCATCAGCTTTCTGGAAGCCCCAGTCACATCCAAGGAAAAGCCAAACTGGAGAATGGGTGTGTCTGTGTGTGTTAGGCAGTCTGTGATCAATCTGTGCTGGGGTGGAGTGTGAAGGAGTGTCATGTACTGTGTGTACATCATTTCTGTATCAACATTTCTGTGTTGGGGGCTTTGCTGACACTACGAATGGTCAGGTTGTGTAATCTTCAGCTGTGTGTTTATCTGTGTGAATGTATGATGTGTTTGGCAGAAAGACAGACCAAGGCTTTCATCACACTGCTGCTCTCAGTTCCTGGTCACTACGCCTCAGCCTTTCCTATTTAGAGACCCTCAGCTCTGCCCCATGCTTCTCTAGGCCCTGGGCTTCCTTACAAGCTGGGTGGAGAATGGGAATTCAGCCCAGACAGAAATTCAATCTGGGCCAGGAAACCTAAGTCCAATGAAAACAGTAGGGAGAGAGGAGTGGGATGGAGAGGAGAGAGTAGAGCCTCCCGGTTCTGTCTACCTTCGACCCCATCACCCCTGTCTGCTCTTGGTGGGGCAGAGGACCCACCACCCTGAGGATGAGTTGTGGACTGCCCTTCCCAACCTCCTCGCCCTGAGAAAGGCCAGGCCCCACCTGGGTCCCACCTCAGGAATGAGAACTTCACTCTTGCACAGCCTCCTCCCTGGGCTAAAGTCCAGAAGCACCAACTGGGGCTGGGGGAGAGGCCAGCGATGGATTCGGGCAGGGGCTCCCACCTTCTCCAGGAACTGAGGGGACAGGCACCAGACTGGAAGTGAGGGCTCCTGAGCCCAATCCCAGTGCAGGGGGAATGTGAGCCACTGAAGTGCTACTCCAGGCCAAGGTCAGGAGGCCCCGGTGACCTAGATGAGGGCTCCCGGGGGAGAGGTAGAGGCCAGCATCTTCCAGGCCCATTTCACTCCAGGGCCCCTTCCCTGGGATGCTGGCTGGGTTGCTGCCTGGAGAAGTACCCCAAACCATCCCCTCCCACCTGCCTTCCCACAGGGCTCCCTGAAGCTGGGGCAAAATGAATCAGGAAGGGCAAGGGAGAGGGAAGAGGGGAAACCAAACCAGGAATGGGGGCTGTGATTACATTTCCTTCCAGCGCCCTGCATCTCATGGACCGTGCTGTCCCTTATTTGAAGACCTCACTTCCCCGCTCCCCAAAACAAGACAAGAGGGTGGGGGTGGAATCTCAGGGACGGGAAGACCTGAAGAACCGGCAGGGCGGACACAAGGAGGAGAAACGGCTTAGGGGTGTCCAAAGAGCAGGTGGGGTCGGGATGCTGGGAAGGCCGGGGCTGGGGAAAGGGATCTGAGCAGCGTGGTGATCCGAGAATAGGTGCAGAGCCTGAGGGGAAGCCTGAATGAAGATGTGGGCGACCCCCAGGACCGGCGAAGCAGAGGCC